CTTCCGGTGCAGACGAAATTCCGAATGGAAGACGATGAAAGCGGTATCGACCAAACGGTGTATTAAATGTACATTTCGTTGCACTTTCGTCATCAAGTTGTACTTGCCAGTAGCCTTGGGTAGCATCAAGCTTCGAGAAGAATTTGGCATTCGGCATTCGCGAGATAACTTCTTCTATAGTTTTCATAGGATACTGTTCACGTTTAATTGCGCGATTTAAGTCTTTCGGGTCAATACACAATCGTATTTTTCCATTGGGTTTTACGACAGTTACTAAACTATTTACCCATTCCGTTGGCTGTTGAACTCGCTCTATTACTCCGAGACTTTCCATACGATCCAGTTCGTCCTTAACTTTTTGTCGCAAGGGTGCTGAAACTCGACGCGGTGGGTGAATTACCGGTTTTACTGTAGGGTCAGTTTCAATGTGGTGTACTACGCCTTTAACACAACCTAACCCAGTAAACACATCACTGTACTGTTCGAAAATATCCTCAGGTGCGGTGGACGTCGACTCGACGCATTCTTTTTTGTCGATAGTTAGCACTCGTTTTACAAGATTTAACTGAAGGCAAGTTGTAAGTCCAAGTATATTTGGAACTTCATGATTTACGACTTGAAACTCAATTGGCCAATATTTGTCACGATATGTACATAACGTTGTAAATTTTCCAATTGTTTTTAACTTTTGCCCTCCAAACGCTCCGAGCTTTGTTCGCGATTTTTCTAAGGGGGTTTTACTAAGTTCCTCATACGTCTTTTTTGAAATCACATTGCATTCGGCTCCAGTATCGATTTTGAACATAACATTTGTACTGTTTACTTTTAGGGATGTCGTCCATTCTTTGTTTTCGTCTTGGGCGTGTATGGCGCCAATGAAAAAACTATCATTGCTTTCACTGTCGCTATTTCGTGTGCTCGCTTCGGCTTCGTGACTATGAACGTTCTTTTCATTTGTTCTAGTCCTGCACATTCTCGAGTAGTGGTTAGGTTTTTTGCACTTATGACAAGTAGCTCCTATAGCTGGACATTTCTGTTGTTCATCGTGTTTACCGCCACACCTTGTACATGTTGTCGCTGACGTTTTAGATGTACGGTTGAACGGACTTCGCCTTCGATCTTGAGATCTCCTGTTACTGTTCATATCGCGTTCACTTTGGTGATCTTTCTTTAGGGCATTTACTTCTGTTGTCAAGCCATCCGTCACGTTTGTAAGAGATTTGGCTTGTTCTAAACTGATTTCGTTGGCGCGGCAAATGTCAATGGCTTTTTGAAGCGTTAAATCGCTTTCCCGCAATAGTCTTGCACGTAATTTATCGTCAATTATTCCACAGACTATTCGATCTCGAATTAACCCGTCGCAAAGGGTACCAAATTCACAAGACTTAGCTTTCGTGCGCAAATCTGTCACGTATTGATCAATTGTCTCACCTGCTCTCTGATTTCGCGTGCTAAAAACGTGCCGTTCGTAAGTTATATTCTTTCTTGGATTACAATACGCGGCAAACTTTTCCATTATTTTATCTACTTTCATGGCATCGCCTTCGCTCGCCCATGTGAAAGTGTTATAGACTTCCAACGCATTTTCTCCTATCACATGCAGCAATGTAGACACTTGAACTTTTGCAGATTTTTCGCCGATTCCACTCGCTACTAAAAACAAATTGAATTGTTGTTCCCATTTTCGCCAGTTTTCAGCTAAGTTGCCTTCTAAATGTAAGATATTTGGGGGTTTCATGTATTCCATCCTGACACCATGTAATATTGTGTTTGTTTAGACACACGCCATGTTGAGTCTATCTGTCCTTTATCTAATTGTCTCCTGCATATATATCTATGTCCATTACGTCATAACTACTTAATGTCAATCATCTACTTATAAATGTCACAACCTTGTCAGACCTCTCAACTTTGCAGAGAAGTTAAGAGTGAGATTGGGGATGTGGATGACATGCACCTGTGTAAACGTCCGGGGTCTGAAATGGCATTTGAGGGTCCTGAAGGGGGGGGGGGTCCCAATCCCATTTCCCACCTGAAATTTTGGCAAAATCCCAGTCCCAGTTGGATTTTTATTAGAAATCCCAGTCCTAGTTATTGAAATCCCAGTCAATAAAAAACCCCTTATTTATCGGTAGAATAAACAGTTTTAAGACCTTTAAGCAAGTGGCGGACACTTTATGAAATATTAGGGGGTGTTCGTGCCAAAGGCACGGAAAATTTTTAAATTTGAATCCCGGAAATGGCATTTGCAGCATTCTGAGACATGCATAATCAGAAAACCCAGAATTCCGGGCGCCAGAGTATGCCTGTTGGCAGGTAGTGCTGTGAATAATATAGTTAACAACAAAAATCATGACCAAAGACACCAAAAACGGATCAAAATTGTATTTTAAAATACTCAAAACGCAGAAAAATTAGGAATCGACTCGCATTACCTCAATCCCATTCCCATTTTTGAGAACTTCATTTCCCATTCCCAGTGGCCAAATCCCAGTCCCAGCAACCCAAATCCCATTTTCCCAGTCTAAAAATAGGTCAATCCCAGTTCCCATTTTACCCCTCAGGGCCCTCGCATTTCGTACATTATGAGAGTTGGTGTTTTTTTAATGAAATACATTGCTTCATAACGTCCTTTAAGACAAGGCACTTTAGTTACAATAACTGTATTTCTGTGACATACAGTAATCAGCTTTAATTTGCCTTTGATAATTTACATATAAAATTCTGCTCGGACTGATTCTGCCTTTTGTCCGCCATATTTACATATGCGTACTATTTTGTATCCAAATTGCGGGCAAATTGTCGGACCGTATATGCAGGAACAAGAACACGCGATTATATATTCGGCTCGCGATCCGTATAATGATTAATAATGTGCATTTATTAAAGAATATAATATTATATTATTGAAAAAAATACTATGAAACTGCTATATGCGTGAGATTTACTAAACGTGGCGTGAAAGCGTGAGATTGAAGCGAATTGCGTGAGACTCACGTCGAATGAGTGAGAGTTGAGAGGTCTGCCTTGTAAATAGGTCATGCGAATAAACTATAAAGTAATAAAAATAACCTTCTGGTAATTTTTACTAATTTAAGGAATTTTAAGGAAATCTGAGGAATTTTCCAGCTTTTTCTAAGGAATTCGAAAATTTGATTGTGAGAGCACTTTCGATTACGATTTACTTTCGATTTTGACGTTCAGTCACAGTCACAGAAGAGGTTCATTTCAATGTGAAGCTCGATGTGAAGGATTGTGAGCAAAGCATTTTTACAATATCGTTCGAATGTAGGCCGCATTTTGCAAGGTTTTGTTCGTATGGAAGGCGAAAGGAAGAAATCTCCCATTAAGCAACAAGAAGAGAATATCGATTCTGTGTCCAGCGATGGCCAAGAAACGAGTGGACAGCCATCGTCTTCGACATATTCGGTGTCTGATAGTTTCGAGATACAGATGGATGACAGTGATTTATTTGGTACGTATTTTAATTTAGAGCACCATAAAGAATTGTAATGAGAGATTTCGTCAGTAAGAACTAGCGCGCTCATATTAAATTAGTGAATACAAAAAGTGTCCCGCTTCTGTGGTTTGTTGTGAATTTAAACTGTAATGTGTGCAAGTAATGCATGAGTCAATTCCTGGAGTA